CAAGTATATAAAGAAAATATATACCCGAGGAGAAAAGGGAATGTCACACCCCCGACCGACGGTGGAAACGACGGGTTGTGAGACGTTAAAATGTTGGATCACAGATCACATATATTAAACATGCATTGAACAGTACAAAATAATGTGTATAACATAAATATCACTTCATGAATTAAACATTACATCAGAATATGTTTTGTAGTACTAGCATTCTTAATACAAATGGCGCCTTAACAGTTAGACATAAAAATAAACGATAACAGACTTCCAGTAGCTCCATCGATCAACCACTGCTTCAGGGAGTGCAATCTTTCGTCTCAGTTTCCTAGGAATACATGTGGTTTTGAAAACATCAACATGATGTTGGTGAGTTCACAAGTTTTGGATATTATACCTTGAAAATACTTTGTATACATAACTTTTGTTAAGTTGTGTAAGTATCTTGATTTATTTTAATAGGCTACCTTTTAGTTTGAAACTAGTATTCTACTATTATAGGTACTATAGTTTTCCTATTTCTTTTATCGTTCATCTTATGTACTATTGAAAAATTAGTATTTTCTTATCTCAGGAGTGAGATTATGAAAAGGAGTACTTCTATTCTATAATAACAGACTATCGAGAATGAACTTTCATACTTAATGTAGGTTAACTGGATATCGTCTAATCTTAACCTATATAACTGATTACTTAAGACATGAATATAGCAAGGTTACAATGAGTTCCCATAATCGAGTTTCTGACTAGAGATTCGCCCCGTACAACGCTTCACCGTACGTCGTAAGTTTCAAAGGTTATGCATGCCAGGGTTGTAGCTAGCAACTGCATGTGGAGGTCTCAACCCCGTATAGATCTATACATAAATATCCCACTCATTTAAGATTAACGATTATAGGTTGGGGTCTTAGCTAAAAATAATTTAGCTAAGATGAGTGATTATCTCATTTAACTAGTTGCATTACTAGTCTTAACGTAAAAAGAGTTACGATGTTTTATTATATAATTATATTTAATTTATAATTATAGTGAATAGATATTTTTAGCAAAGCCAAACTGGCAGAGTGGCGATTTAATATATGACCATTATCCGAGAGGAGTGACGACATAATATACTGCAAATATTCGTTTGAATCGAGCAACATAACGACTAGGTGCAATGTTATTCTTAGATTTCGCAAGACTAACGACTATGTACAATGTTACCCTAGAGAATTGGCCAGAATAACGACTCGGTATAATATTATTATGAAGATTAAATACTAACTAAAATATGTAAATAAAGAATTTTCGCAATTTTAGGAAGCGATTTTCGATAGAAAAACGAGAGAGAAGAGAAAGTTTTGGTGTGAAGAAATGAAGGACTCGAGGTGGTATTTATAGGTAGAGAAATGGATAGGCGCGTCGAGCCCTGTCGGCTTGGCTCCATCTGTTGCGTGACACGAGTCACTAGGCTGGTGGTCCGCGTAACCCCTTTTAGAAGGCGTGCGCGTCGCGCGTGCTTTGCGCCACGCAAAACACAAATTTTGTAAAATTTTTATCTTCCTCATACGAGCTCTGTTTTCGACGTTCTTTATATCCACGGGTAGCTATCGACAAGTACTATAACTTTTCTTTAGGTTGCATTGGCTAGTTCAGACTTTATTTTTAGCCCTTATTTTTATAATCCTAAATGATTTTTCAAAAATCATATCTCTCCCGTAGGGAATCCGTTTTTGGCATTCTTTGCCTCGTCGGTCTTGTATCAAGGAGTAGTTCGATTCTCCTTTATAGATTTATGGCTAAAACTCAACCGATTTTCCTTTAATTTTTTATGACACACATTCTTTGTGCACGGTTGATTTTAATATTTTATAAATTTCATATCTATGAAGTCGGATTTTTACGAAATTTATATTTCCGAGATCCGGACGACGTGTACTTTTAGAATATGTTATTCTTTCTTCAAAATAGCAAAAAAAATTGCGCACTTATTTTTATAGAATTCGATCGATTCGGCTAATTTTTATTATCTATTTTAATACGAATTCTTGTATTTTTATCATAGATTGATAAATATTATGTATTAAATCTATTATACTTTCCGTTCGTCACTTTCGGTGATTAACGGTTAGTGAATTTTTGCAATTGTTACAGAGAAAATGACAATCAAATTTTTTTTAAACAAAAAATCATGAAATACACATTCACATCGTAAATGAGATAAAGTATTCAAAAAGCAGTCCCAAAACAAGGACAACCCGAAATTAATTTCTAAATCAATTTCGGACGGGTATATCTAGGCTGTTGATGACTATAAAGACAAGATTTAAACTAAAAATCAATGATTCAACACGTTTTCATAATTATAACATCATACTTTTGTTTGTTTTCTATTATAACATTGTACTTTTAATAGAAACATACTTTTATTAGTTTCTTTTCTATTATAAATATAAAAAAGAAATGAAAATAAAATGTTTTAATAAACAAACTAATAAAAGTATGTTTCTATTAATAACCTTTGCAATTAAGTTTTTTAATAGCAACGTACTTTTATTAGTTTGTTTATTAAATATTCTATTTACATTTTTTTATATTGGTTTTTTTATAATAACATTGTACTTTAAATAATTAAGTTATTAGATTATATATAATAATAACGTTGTGCTTTATTTTTTTCTATTATAAATATAAAAAAGTAAATGAAAATAGAGTGCTTTAATAAACAAACTTATAAAAATGTGTTGTCATTAATAACCTTTGTGGTTAGGTTTTCTTTCATATCAATATACTTTTATTAGTTTGTTTATTGAAGCATTATATTTTCACTTTTTTTCATATTTATATTATTTAGAGCATCTTCTTTTTGTTTTTTCTATTATAACATTGTGCAGCAATATAAATTTTTTTTTCAATTATAACAAACCAATATCAACTATTCATTAAGCGTTCACTTACAAAATAAATTAAGCCCTTATCATTGCACTTACCTATTATAGCATTGCACTTACCTATTAAACACTTTACAGTACAAACCTAAATAACTAACATAATCATACATATACCTATTATACCATTGCACTTACCAATTAATCACTTTACAATACAACCTAAACAACAAACATAATCATATATTTTATACATTTTTATATATCCAATTCCAAACATCTTATATGTACTTAAAGTAGTAAACCTACACAAATAACAAAATCATATATATATATATATATATATATATATATATATATAATACATTTTATACATCCAATTCCAAACATCTTATATATACATAAACTAGTAAATCTAAACAAATAACAAAAATCATACATATTATACATTTTATACATCCAATTCCAAAATCGGGAAAAATACATTTGCATATTTCAGAAAAATCAGAAAAACGGGAAAGACCTCCAAAACCAGAAAATTGTATCACCGTGAAATGCCATCGGAATACAACCCAAAATCTAAAGTTTGGCGTCTATAGTGGTTTACTTACCGGAAAATAGCACCAAATCACCAAAAAAATCAGAAAAACGAAACAAAATACCCGAATCACCAAAAAAATCTAAAATCCAGGTCTTACCTGATGTCGTATATTGTGGTGTGTCGTCAAGTGGGGCATTGTCGGACTGTGGTGGCGAGAGACCGGTGGTGCTCGTATGTGGTAGCCGAATTTCAAGAAATTGAAACATAAAAAACTCAAAATCGGACCCAAAATGTGTGAAATCAGCAAAAGTATAATGGATGAAGCAAAATACCGGTGAAAGGCGTTGAAATCGCGTCAGAAAAGTGGTCGCCAGTCGAGAGAGTTTTGGGATGGCTTTCTTCGTGCGCGACTGTGAATAACGAAGGTTTAGGTTACTAAAGATATTCTCACCCTATGTCGATGACAAGTCGTCATTATAGGGTTAATGAGAACTACGTCGTATTGTTTTTTTTTTTCGCAAATTATTAAAACACTATATGTGTCGACGACTCGTCGTCGGGATAGAGTTCACGCGGATCACCACATTTTATGTCGACGACTTGTCGTCGGGATAGCTTTTTAAAAAAAACGAAATCGTTTTTTCTGCACCACGGCATATAAATAAATCAAAATTATAATTTTCGTTACCTATACCGACGACAAGTCATCGGCATAGGTTTTGAGAAAACCGCATAAACATTTTTCGTTCCCGCCGAAGCTATGACAAAAACAAGTTGTCCACATAGATATTCATGTCAAACAAAAGTTACAAAAGTTAGGTCAACCATATATCAACATCATGACGTCGACATGCATTTGTAGCGACGACTCATTTCGTTGGCATTTATGTTTATTTTAAAATAAAAATAAATAAATAGATTGGGAAAGATAAAAAATAAGTTTACATGCGTTGCTTTTGGGGTGAGATTGTAATTGAGTAACATATTGATAAAAATATAAAAGATGGACTTTCACCATCCTAACAAATTATGCCCAATATTCAACAAACCTAAACACTTTATAAAATAAAATAAAAAAAGAAAGAAAAGAAAACTTAATAAATTTGCAACCTATCAAGGATGAAGCCCAAACCCAACATATGGCTCCTACTATAATTAGGTAGGAAAAAAAAAACAAAACTCATTGCAAAGCCTTGTAAATTTACAAGCAATTTAAAACAAAACAAATATGATCTAATTCTAAACTACTTTTAAATCCATCTTAAATCCATCTGTTTCAAAGATTTGACCCTTAATTTCAAGGAGGCAAGACAACACACCACGAGACTAGACAAAACATCTTAGTGTAGAATCAATGCACCGCCTCACTTGATCAATTTGTGTACTTGATAAATTAGTGTAGAGAATTTTTCATTTTATCGTAAGTAATGGATACATTCAAAAAAGATATACTAACTGAACAAAACATCTTATTATGTCAACCAAATACTTCAATGGCTAATCATGTTTCTTATTCAATCATTTACACAATCCCAAAAACCATGTTATCTTCATTTATTCAAATATTTAAACAAACCTTAACAGCCATTTAATCAAGGGTTGTACCTATGTTTTTCCAAATACTCTACAAAGTCGTTTGTATACTTCTTTTGTAGCTTCATGTCACCAAATATTCGGCTCAAATCCATCGCATTCTCCTTGTAGACCTTCCCTTCATCTTCAGCCAGTACCAAACTCAGTGAGTCGGCCACCGAGTTCTTGGTGAAGGACCCATCTTGTTCATTTCTTGGCACCTCAATTCCCACCTTTTTGTCAACCAGTACTCGAGCATTCAGCCCTTGGTCCACCAAAAACGGAAGCATGATTAAAGGATGACCTAACATTAGCCCTTCCACAATCGAGCTCCAACCACAGTGAGTCAAGAATCCACCCACCGAGTCATGACTCAGTATCTGTAACTGAGGTACCCAACTCGTCCACACCATACCATGGTTCCGGATTCGCTCCAAGAACCCGTCTGGCAACTCAACAGAGTCTGACTTGGTGGAACCCGCCGGTTTTCTGAAAGCCCAAATGAACGGCAACCCAGAGAGCTCGAGACCAAGGGCTAACTCACTCACATCGGTTTTGCTCAGCATAACCTCACTGCCTAACGCCACGTACACAACATGACCCTTTTGATGACCATCGAGCCAGTTCTTGATTGTTAGCCACGTGTCATCTTTCTCATCTCCGACAGCAGCGGATGTGGTCGGTGGCATTAGACCCACTGGAATCACCGGGAGGTGGTGTAGCTCTTCTAAAAGGGTTAACCACTGGGGTTCAAATTCGAAGCAATATCTCATGAACACACAGTTAGACCCCTTGAAGATCATCCCGCTACGATATACATCTGAAACCCCAGAAGCATTAGGAGAACTACTGTCCACCATCCAGTCAGCCTCATGCCTCCGATAGCATATTTTCGAGGGGAATGGAACCCACTTGGGTGGCGTTAGGAAGTCCTCCACCGAAGTCCGATCATCGGAACCATTTATCATGTCCTCCGGCGACCCTCCTAGAAAAGCGATGAACCATGCGTTGAATATGGAGAAGAAGGCTCGCGAGATGCCAAGACCAGCAGCGATCTCCGGCAACCAGTAGGGAGCAAAATCATAAATTATCCAGTCTGGGGAATCGGCCTTTAGAAATCTCGTGACCTCTGGCTTAAGACCATCGAAGGCCTTCTTGAGGTATTGAATATCTTCAGTGCAGACATCCATGGTGGCCTCTGCATCCTGTGGCAGCTGGTGAAGACATGGAAGAGTGAGTGGAACCAAGTTTATAAGTGGCGAGAGGTGAGAAGGGAGGTTTGGGAGACGTTGGATGTTTCGAGTGGTGGAAAGAAAAGAGACTTTGTGACCTTTTTGGGCTATTGATTTAGAAAGTTCAAGGAAAGGGATGATGTGACCGAAAGCAAGCCATGGGAACATCACCACATGAAGCTGCTTACTGCCATCGGAGTCGGTGGTAGGCATTGCCGTGAATGTGTAAATGATAACGGTGATCTGGCCTGAGATGTGCCTTCGTTTCAATTTATTGATTTCAGAAGATCAACATAAACATATTGGAGCTTATCCGTCAACCTTATGGTATCGGTGCCTTATATTCTTGGGTTTTGTCTTCATGCAATATATTGTTAGCACACGTCAATATATTGCTAGCAAGTGTCAAGGATGTTTCCTTTCTACTCTTTTCGCTCTCATCTAAAAATGCAAATACTATAATTTTTTTTTTAAGATTATGGAATTTTTAATATAATATAGAAATACATAAGTTTAATTAAAAAAACTATAATGCCATCCTGTATCCGTGAACGTTACGGGTGAGCAAAAAACATACCGCATCTAAAAAACCGAAAAAAAAAACGCATAAACTGAAACTGAGACGGGAACCGACAGTGTGGTTTTTAATTAAAAAAAACCATAAATTTTCGGTGCGGTGCGGTTTTTAATTTTCCAATAACTGAATCGCACGAATTTAATATATTAAATAATTATATATAAATTTAGTTGATAATAATATATAATATAATTAGTTAAGTTATTGGTTTGGTGGTGTTTTAATTTTTAACGTAGGTTTTTGAAATTTGTTGTTGTTAAGATGTTAATTGTTTGGTGCTTAATTAATTTGTTTGTTATTGTCTTGTATATTAATGATTTCCATATTGTTACAACTAATAGTACTTGTAAAACCTCAAAAATTACTAAAACCACGTGGTTAAAAACCACACATAAAAAGAACACCGAAGTCATGGAGTTAAAAACTACAATTGCAACCGAAAGAAACTGAGCAACATAAAACTACATAACTGCACCGCTACATTAACCATACCATTCTGTTTCTAAAATCTAATAACCGCATTTATTGTTAACGGTTTGGTTTTGGCAAATAACTTCACCACGGGCACCCCTATGTGTAATCATGAAATTACAGATTTGATCAATATATAAGACAAAGTTACAATAATGGTTTCTTTGTGAAACAAAGTTTAAAACATGGTCCTTATGTAGTGTGTAGTAAGGATATTAGAGAAATGGTCCATGTGTAATAGTAAATATATAGAAATGGTCCTTCTGTAATACCAAAAGTACATATTTGGTCCTTGTGCCAGACAAATTACCGTATTAATCCCGATATAATAGAAAAATTATAGAAATGGTACATTTGTAACACAACATTACATAAATGGTGCTGAAAATATAGGTTTAATAAATGTGATGCAACGCACGAGCCATCCCTAGTAGCTAGCCACTATATAACCGTAACACCAAGTTCCAGGTATAATTGTTTTTGTTGTTGTGGGCATTTGAGGATTAAAATACAAGATTTTCGTGGTGGCCATGATGTGGTGATGATAACACCACAATGTGGCGACACCAGGTGAAATGCACATTTCTCTTGAGTGTCACGATGTGGCAGACACCTACATGCAAAACCCTAACTTTTCGGGCCTTAAGCCTTATTTAAGGGATGCGATGGCTAGGGTTTGCACACCCTCAGCCTCCATCACCTCCATTTCACCCTAAATGAACGCTAACCCCCATTGTTGAGTTTTGAGAGGACGAAGTCTGTTTCGGATGTGCCAGTGGCTATGGAGTTTTCGGATGATTTCCCAGAAGTTCTACTTGGTGTGCCTCCCGAGAGGCAGGTGGAGTTTAGAAATCGATCTGATACCAGGTGTGGTCTCGATTGCTAAGTCGTCATATCGCTCACACCACCAAAAATGAAAGAGTTGTTCTCTCAGCTCCAAGAGTTGTTGGGCAAAAAGTTTATCCGACCGAGCAGTACACCTTGGGGAGCGCCGATTTTGTTTGTGAAAAAAGAATGATGATTTTCATCGAATATGCATAGATTATCGGGAGTTGAATAAGTTAACAATGAAAAACCATTATCCACTTTTGAGGATTGATGACCTCTTTGATCGGCTACAAGGCGCATCTTGGTTCTCCAAGATTAATTTGTGTCGGGTTACCCCCAGTTTGTGGTGATGTCGTTTGGGCTCACCAATGCACCTGAAGTATTCATGGATTTGATGAATTGGGTATGTATACCGATGCTCGATTGGTCATTCATTGTGTTTATTGAGGAAATTCTATTCTACTCCAAGACAAGGGAGCAACATGAGGACCACATGCAAGAGTTACTTGGAGTGTTGAGAAAGGAGAGGCTATATGCCAAGTTCTCTAAGTGTGAGTTTCAACTTTTCCATTAAGCTCTTATTTCGTTGAGACAAAGCACCAAACTTCAGATCCAGATTTCAAGGGACGTCTTAATGGATGACTTTATCCATTTGCATGCATTCAAGAGGGTAAAAAGCCAAACCCTTGGTCCAAAAGTCACCCAAAACTCCCAAACTCTTGCATGGCTTAATGAGAGTGTCCAATCTCTCATTTTTATGAATCTAGAGGCTCAAAACTACATGAAACTACATTTTAAGGACATGAAGTAGCTCATACTCCATTAGACTAAATTATGGGACCAAATATGCATACAATCTTTAGACTAACAAGATCTAAGCAAATGACACATCAAGATCCAAGCTTTATACCTCCAAATAAAGCTTGAGGGCAAGATACTTCTGGATCCAAGATGCCTCGAGCTTCGTAGTTGATTCCACTTCTTTCTTATTCCTTCAAGATCACCAAAAGCACACTTTCAAGCTTAAAATACTGACACAATGGATTAGGATTAGCAAGGAACGATTTGGGAGATGGAGGATGTTGAGGGAAGAGGTCTTGGAAAGATAATGATGCTTAAATAGGGCTCAAACCCAAAAAAATTAGGGTTTTACCCTCAACTACTTACGCCCTACGTAAGTTGGAATACGCCCAACGTACTAAGCACACATGCAATTTCCACTTAAGGAGCCAAAATACCAACTTTGCAAATAAATTTCATATTAAGGGCATAAATGGAAAATACTTGGATCAAGGTGTTATAATTATCCCCACTTGAATCAGACTTTATCCTCGAAGTCCAATGCTATAAATAACTCAGGGTAGTGCTCTCGCATCTCTGCCTCGTGTTCCCAAGTCCATTCGGAACCCTTCCGATGTTGCCAATGAACTTTAACGAATGGAACCACCTTGTTGCACAAGACCTTCATTTTTCCTATCTAAAATTGCCACCTGCCTCTCAACATAGTTCAGGAGATCATCGACTTGAATATCATCTAAATGAACCACTGCTGATTCATCAACTACACACTTTCGAAGCTAATAAATGTGAAAGGTGTTGTGAATCTGATTGATCTCCTCAGGCAGATCCAATTGATAGGCTACCCTGCCAATCCTAGCAATCACTCAAAACGGCACAATATATCGGGGTCCCAACTTTCCCCTCTTCATGAAGCTTATTACACCCTTCCAGGGTGATACCTTTAGTAAAACCATATCGTTAACCTGGAACTCCAACTCAGATCGATGTTTGTCGACATAACTCTTCTGCGGACTCTGAGCTATTTGCAACCTCTGTCTGATCTGTTGAATAAGCTCTGTCGTCTGAAGGACTACCTTGGTCCTTCCTATAACCCTGTGACTGACCTCTCCCCAACAGACTCGGGTATGACACCTTCTCCCATAAAGAAGCTCAAAAGGTCGTCCACTGATACTAGAGTGATAGTTGTTGTTATAAGAAACTCAGCAAGGGGATGGTAGGAGTCCCAACTAGCACCGAAATCTTTAACACAAGCTCTCGACATATCCTTAAGTGTCTGAATGGACTTCTCGCTCTGGTCATCAGTCTGCAGATGATAAGCAGTGCTATATTGCAACCTCTTACCCAGTTCCTTGTGGAACCTCCACAAAAATCGAGAAGTGAACCAAACATCTCGATCAAATACAATAAAAACCAGAACACCATGTCGAGTGACAATCTCACGCACATATACATCGGCCAATTTCTCGGCCGAGGAGCTCTCCCGAATAGCTAGAAAGGGGGCACTCTTGGTAAAACGATCCACTATAACCCAAATCACATCAAACTCCTTAGTCGTCCGAGGTAACTTGGTGATGAAATCCATGGTGATTTTTTCCCATTTCCACATGGGAACCTGTAAAGGCTGAATCTTGTCATGCGGCCTTTGGTGCTCGGCCTTGACCATACGATAAGTCAAGCACCTATCAACATACCAAACTATCTCCCTCTTCATACACGACCACTAATAAATAAGTCTCAAATCTTGATACATCATGGTGGCTGCGGGGTGTATCGAAAATCTGGACTTATGCGCCTTCTCCAACATAGTCTGCTCGATCCCGCCAAAATCCGGTACCCAAACCCGACCGCACCGGGTCAATAATTCATGACTATCGGTGGAAACCCTGTCAATCTCGCCCCTGATCCTCTCTTGTTTGTAGTTTTCCTTCTTGACTCCCCCGACCTGAGCCTCTTTGATCAAGTCCAGACGCGGTGAATCGATAGATATCCTCACACACAAGCTCCCCACAGAAGAACTAGCCGACTTGCGGCTTAAAGCATCAGCGACCACATTCGCTTTCCGCAAGTGATAAAGAATCTCGCAGTCATAATCATTTACCACGTCAAGCCATCTACGCCTTCGCATATTCAGATTTGGTTGATCATGATATACCTTAAACTCTTATGGTCAGTGTAAATGGTACACCGAACCCCATAAATATAATGCCGCCAAATCTTGAGGGAAAACACCACCACCCCCAGCTCCAAATCGTATGTCGGATACCGAACCTCATGCAGCTTCAGCTGCCTAGAAGCATATGCAATAACACACCCTCGCTGCATAAATACTACCCCCAAACAGGTGATGGATGCATCACAATATACAACAAAATCTTCAACACCCTCCAGGAGAGGTAACACCGGGGCCTCACAAAACTTCTGTCTTAGTGTCTCGAATGTAGCCTACTGCTCATGCCCGCATCAAAAATCCAGGCCCTTCTGTGACAACCGTCAATTTTGGTCAAACAAAGTCAACCAGGTCAACTCGAATCGTATT